TACCTTCCTGTGATGTCACGTGAAAGGTCAGGAAGTTCACTCTTGCTAAACATCTGCATTACCTGGAAATTCATTTAATTTTAGAGCTGTTAGTGTAGGAAAGTGCAGACATGATTTATATGCTCAGGGCTCGGGATGTCCAATATGGCTGCCAGAAGGGGCGTGGCTACAGAAACCTTCATATATACATCAGTCCATTCATCACATTGAGGCTAAATGCATTCCTGTGTTGCTGCTGTCAGTCACACGTAGAATAGAGACTTCCAGGCCCATTCAGACTTCAGGCAGCTCTGCTTAGGCATGCAGCAAGTGTATGCACACACACACACACACACACACACACACACACACACACACACACAAAGGCATTGACAGATGGCAGTATTCAGACTGACGGCGGTCAAACAGACAGACAGACTGAAGGAGATTGTAAAGCGACTCTGAGATCAGTTGCTTTCCTCAGAAGGTCCCTTAAAGTTCTCACAACAAACCAGGAGGCACAAAATCACAACAGGACATTCGAGCTGATATTTTAATTGATTGTTTCTGGTTTCAAAAAAGTGACATAACAAGTCCTGATCATAGACAACAACAAACTCATCAACTGTTTGTCATCAACAGTTTTCATCTGTTTGAATCAAAACTTTTGCTTTCAAGATCTGTTGCATCAAATTGATAACAAAAAGCTGAGTATAGTTGTTTCTCTTTGATGGTGTTCTACGGCTTCTTGTATACCAGGGGTGCCCAATCCCAGTCCTCGAGATCTACTATCCTGCAGCTTTTAGATGCATCCCTACTCCAACACAGCTGAATCAAATGGTGTGATTACCTCTTCAGCATTCCATCAAGTTTGGCAAAGGCCTGATAACAAGGCATTCAGTTGATTCAGGTGTGTCAGAAGAAGGATGCGTCTAAAAGCTGCAGGACGGTAGCTCTCGAGGACTGGGATTGGGCACCCCTGTTGTATACTATAAGCACGTGCTCAGGAGGACTGAATTTAAGACAAACCCAACTTATGAGAAGCTATTCATGTCTAAGCGCTTCAATTCACCCAGAGGACACTAAGGAGAGAGCAGCTTCTCAAAAAAGGTTTTCGTAAATAAAAATGAATTTTTAAAACCTTTTTTGGAAATAAATGCAATTGGTCAACCTATTATTCTTTAATTTGTCTTAAAGTGAAGCTGATTTTGTCCTTATATTGCTAACATTCTGCTGACATATGCTAATTGGCCATTGAATTGGCCAAGTATTTAAATTGGGGCATGTTCTCTTCATACCAGTTACTATTAATAAACTGAGCGTAGCGTTAGTTCAGGTCAAGTCAAGCCACAAACACCATCAGTCTTAAGCCTTTTACATATTCACATCTTCATATCCAGTCGGTGAATCTTATACCGTGGGCATATTTAGGCTGCTTTAGACCACCTACAGTTGCGGCACATCTGCAAGCCACTTTGCAAACCACTTCCATCTGGCTCCTCCTTTTCATGCTGTTCCGAATTAATCAATGTCATTGATGTGGTTGCACTGCTGCTCTCCCCACGGCTGACTTTCAGACAGAAGGTATTTTCTGTTGATCCTTGTTTGATATGTGGAAAAAAATTTAAAGTGGCCTAATGTCCCCAATTTTCTAGGTTACAAATATCAAAAACAGAATAGAAATGGACACATTTGTTTAACGCCAGAAAAAAGGACTATATCGCAAATGTATTATAATTTGAAGGTTTCATTTGAAGATATTACATTAATGCATATTCTTTTCAAAGAACCATAGTAAGTGAGCAGCTGACTTTAAACTGTTTGGACAGGTGTGGACTATTCCTTTGTAATTTCTTCATCAATTAAGCAGTTTTGATTTCCAGCATTTACATTTAGTAATAATAAAAATAATGACTCATGTTTAGTTTTAGGTTTTTAGAGCAGGTCCCTTCTGTGGATGCAGGGTTTTGTTGGGGTTTTTTTGCACCAAAACAAAAATGTAAAAATTTATCTGGTTAGTCTCCAAAACAAAGAAAGACACAGGAACTCCTTGATGTTTTGTTGGATTCGATTCCTGATTGGAGCTTTAATAAAGACACAAAGACTCTTTGATTGGCAGTCGCTGTGTGAGTGGGTTTGTGTGTGTCCATCTGCCTGTCGTGGACGAACTGTAAGGAAAGTGCTTTCACTGTGAAGCACACACACACACACACACACACACACACACACACACACACACACACACACACACACACACACACACACACGGCTGTTCTGAATAGGGGAAGGTTTTCTTTAATGAGAGTGAAATTTAAATCCTGGACATTGTGCTGCTTTGCAGCTACAGCCAAGACGAGCAGGTTTTCCTTCCACACACACACAAAGTACAATGACGTAATGCTTTTGCAGAAGCTGAAACAAGTCTTGTATCGAGGCCGATGACCTGCTGTGAGGTGAAATGGATTTGAATTCATTTAAGTGTCTTGCTTTAACAGTAGTTTACACTCAAGTAGAAACACTAAAACTTCGCAAATACTGTTGTTACATGGCCACAGAAATCTGTAGAACTTCTTTAAGCAGCCATAAAACGTCTTCCCGGAGGACACCAGAAGCCTCAAAAAACCTGTGGAACCTCTTTCAAAAGTCCAGAATAACTTTCTAAGACTCACTGAAGCTGAAAAGAAGTCCTCAAGGATCAAACATCAAACTTTTTGTATACGTTCACTTTTGGAGTGTATTCTTCAAAGACTTTCCCAGTCGTCTACATTTAAAATTCCACTGAGTCCATTTTTCGGGCTGTTTAGCTTTTATTATGATGCGATCCAATAAGCTGTCATAGCACCCAAGCTTCCATTAATCTTTAAGGACCCCTTTCAGGTGTTCCTGAAAGTTTAGCGTTTCTGTAAAACTAAATGAAATGTCTCTAAGCACACCTGAAAACTCCCTCCTCAAAAACAATGAAACAGCTTGAATTGTTCCAGGAGCCTCTTTAGAGATCACTGAATGTGACGAAACGTCCTTAAACATCAAACCTCTTTATTTACCTTCATGTGCACCCTAGGATCCACAACCAAAACTTCCTGAAGAACGCCTGGAGCTTCTGCAAAACTCTTTCACCAGCTGCACCTCTTGAGAAATCCCTCTAACCTTCTCAAAACCTCCAGGAAACTCTACATTTGTGGGCTAAACTCAAGGATCTGTTAATCCTCTATCAGAAGACACCAAATTGTCTTCTGATGTTTCAACACCCTTGAAACATTGTCAGTCCACACATTCCTGTTTGCCTGTAGAGGAATAAATTAAAAGTCCTTTAAAGAATCTTCAATGTCTCTAAATGTATGTTAGAATTCTACAATCCTAAAGCTTCAGAGAAACTATCAAAACATCTACAAGAATTCCCTGATATCCCTGATGTACTTGAGAAGTCTCTTTTAAGGATCACAGAAGCAAAGAAAAAACTCCAATACATTCCTAGGTATTGCCAAGGGATAACTTCCTGATAAACGAGGTAATCTTCTTCAAAGGTCTTGAAACCTTATTAAAACTGTTCTTATACTCTTCAAAGTTGATAATCTGTCGATCACCCAATTATTTTTTCCAGTCAGCACAACCATTTAGAAAACTTTAAGAACTCCTTCAACAGGTTCCTGAAACAATTAAAAATCTCTTAAATGCCTTTAAAGAATGAAACCTGAAATATCAGAGCTCCTTTAAAACTGCTGAAACCTCTCCAAATTTGTCTAAACGTAGAAAGAATAGAATCACTTGAAAAACTCCAGGAGCTTCTTCAATGAGTCTTGGCTGAAAACGGTTTCCGAAATAACACCTGTCCTGATGTTGGCACTCTTACCCTGCAGTCTGTGCAATGTACCTGGTTATAGATTCAGCTAAGACATGAACTTTTAAGTGTTAAGGCCGGACTCATAAAATCCGTGTAATATTTCAAGCATAAAAAATATTTTTTGGACTCACCTATTCTTAACACTTAGAGTCCCCCGAGAGCAGCCATTTGGCAGCTGTTCACAACACCGCCGTAATTTTGATGGACGAATTTGCGGCATTTATTATTTTTTGAACCTCAGACATACACATAGACACTGCTCAGGTCAGTAGGCTCTCTGAAATGATTTCTATGCCTTCTCTTACGTGGTCCGAACCCTGCTAACAAGAGTTCATACTGCCCCACCAACATCCTGAAATGTGCACAAAAGCAGCTGTGCAACACAGATTCAACTCCTGGGTCAAACCATGAAACTGACCCTACCTCTGCCTTCTCCTGAGAATTAGATGAACCCAGAACCTCAGTTTCTTCCTTTTCTTGTTTAGAAACATCAGGACCAGCTCTTCATCGCTTGGTGTCCACTTCATTTTTTTCACAGTGTGTGTTTTTTGAGGGTGAATTTTCTGTAAAAAATGCAACAAGTTCAGATCTGAAAAATTCTGAATGTCGTGTCCCTGTTTGTCCTCGGTGTGTAATGGCTTTTACTCAAATTTTAATTCTTTAAGTTATATAAAAAATAATCCTACTGCAGCAGTTAGTGAAGAGAGCAAAGGTGTTTTTGTATCAGGCTGTGAACGTGTTTTCTCTCCTCTAACGTTGGACATTGTAATATGGGAATCTATGGGGACTGACCCACTGTTGGAGACTGCCTCAAGTGGGCATTCGGGGAACTGCAGCTTCATTTGTGCTGTGGTTGAATTTGGGAACTTATTTTTGTCTCCAGGTGTAAATTCAGTGATGCACTCTGGGTCTCTGCAGATTAAATGTTTTTCCTTAAACATCATGAACCACAGCACCTGACATGCACCCGAAAAACAGGCACAGAGGACAGGTGTTCCGTTTCTCACCACTACATAACATCACCCGTGCGCGCGCAGGCACGCTCACACACACACACACACACACACACACACACACACACACACACACACACACACACACACACACAACACTTACTTTGTGCAGACTTTGGATCAACAGGTTACCTTAAAGAAAACGAAAACCTTCGCTGCTGACTTACAGGTAAGATGTGAAGACGCTCAGGTTGCTCGGTATTTCCCGGAGGCCCAGGTCCGAACAGTCCACCCAGTGCAGCAGCCCGTCCACCTCACACCGGCAGCGGCCAGGGCAGCTGGTCCGCCCCGCTCTCCCGACCTCGTCCCCGGAGCTGTTCAACCCAGCTGCAGCTCTCTGCACCGCGGGCACGGCGGAGCTCCGCATCTCCAGCTCAGCCCCCGCGCTCCTGAAGCCCACCGAGAGCAGCGCAAAGGCGGCTAGGACAGGCACAAACCCTAGCATGTCCTGCGTGGTCTGTCTCCGCAGGGTGAAAGTTTCAGTCAGAAGTGATGTGGAAATATAAAGTTGCAGCCTGGGATCCGGATCACGTTGTGGTGGTTTTTGGTCCCTACTCACCAGAAGCAAACTGGAAACCGCTCAGTTTTAACTTCCTCTGATCCGGATGTAAAGTGGAGCACAAAGAGGATTTGAAGAGTGGAATAAAAGTGCAGGTTGTCTGAAGTTTGGTCGCTTTCCAGGCTGAACGCGTGGAGCTGCACAGCAAGAGTGTGCGTGTGTGTGTCCCTCCACTCACTCTACAGGAGTGTGTAAACCGTGGTTCACTTTATATAGGCGGTGTGTCTCTGCTTCTGCGTGTGCCGTGATTTTTAATAGCAGCAGTGAAAAAACAAGTAAATATTAAAATCCACAGAGCATGTCCCTCATTATTTATGTCACATGCATGTCCCCCCCCCAATAAAAACGTACAGGAGAGGATTAACTTCAGTTTCCTTCACATAAAAAAGTAATTTCCACCACAAATTGATATAGGACATTTATTATCTACTTTTTATTTACTTTAGTATTTATTCTTATTATTTCTACTGTTTTAACTATTGTTTAGTAGCATGCTTCTTATAACAAGACCTAGGAAACTTCCTCACACCCACAGTCGGTCGCTGAGCCTGGCTCTGCCAGAGGTTTCTTCCCGTTAAAAGTAAGTTTTTCCTTCCCTCTGTCAGCAAAGTGCTTGCTCATCGAGCTCTTCATTTTGTTGTTGGGGATTTCTCTCTGTTATTGTAGGGTCTTTACAATATAAAGCAATTCGATGCAACTGATGTTATGATTTGGTGCTATATAAATAAAACTCAATTAAACCGAATCCTTTCAAATGGTTTAATGAAGCTGAGTCTGTTAAAAATTAGAGTCTGAGGTTTAAATTTTCCTCAGAAAGGACCCCAAAATCCATCTGATTAGTGCATCCTTCCAAGTGCTCAAAGGAAACCTGCACTCACATTTGAAACTCACTTCTTATAAGCTGTGGAAACATGAAAGACATTTAAAGAATTTCATGCATTTTATGCATAAACTTGCAGGTTTTTTTTTTAAAATGATGTTGATAATGAGCTGAACCATCTTCTCCATGTCTTTGCTCTTGGCCTGCAGTGCCACCAACGAGCCTAGCTTGTTCGCTCTGCAACAGAGTTGCCCCCCCCAACAGCTATTTGTCTCATAGCTGATGTTGATATGCTTATTTATTGTAGCTATTTTTTCTCTTTTACATTCCATTGAAACAAAACATAACTATAACAAATAACTTAACAGTGCTAATGTTTTTCAGCTGTTAATCACAGTATTTTTTTAACCTGTCTGCAAAAAATTAGGGTTGCACAAAACAGTCTCAGCAAGTAATCTTGTTATTCATATTCCAGAGCCCTGTGCTACAAAGCAAGCTCATCATAGCCAGCATAGCTTTCATTACCTTCACTTATCCTGATATCAGCAATCAGGCTCAGAGGTCACATGTCAACTCTGTAAGTCAGCCCAGGTTTCAATAGTCAAGCTACAAGAAAGGGGTGGTGCTGGCAGCACCTGACCAATCACAAAGAGGGATAAATGTGCTGGCAGCAGAGCAAGGAAGAGAAAAGTACAGTATTAGAATAATATGAAGCGATTATAAACGCAATACAGACGGAAAGTAACACAGCTGCTGGCAAATAAGCTGTATGAGTATTAGTAACAGGAAAAGCACCAAATGGCAGTTTAGTACTTAAAATGCTGTATGAACATGTGCACACTAAAACTGGAAAAATATTAGTATTTGAAGCCAAAGAAAGCTGACAGTACATGTTAACATGTAGCAGCCCTGTTATTACAAATCATAAAATCTGATATGTTATAATTATTACCTCATTAAATTATTATTTAGATGTGCATTTAATTTCATTCTATAAATACAATGTAAACATTTAATGGAATGTTTAGTATGTTTAGTATGCATTCACCTTATACTGAGCTCATTTAGTCTAAGTCATTGAATAATATATATATCATCCTGCTATTTGTGCACAGAGGTCTGAAGGATCTTCCGGGAATGGTGACACTATTTTCTGGAGTATCGATTAGCTTGTAGCCAGTGATTTCATACCTGTTGGTCTTTAAACTTGAATATATTATCTCTGGGCCCTTCATAATAAAGAGCCACGGTTAAATTTCATGAACTGATTGTCAACTGATTCATATACACCAATGGAAGATTTTTGACTTTTAAAGGATGGAAAATAGTAGTTTTGGAGCTTTTGGTGAATTATTGAATCCCACATCAGGACAGGAGATTTTTTTAAATAAATAAAACTGTTCAGCTGTGATTAGAAAAGATTATGTTTGAATACTGGAATACACCATAATGAGGGTTTCAGGTATTTTGTATTTGGAGGTTTTTGGGGCACTTCACCCAGAACACGAGGGGCTAGAAAAAAACCTTTTTTCTGCATGGAGAGGCTCAGTGAGGTCACAGCATTGTAATTAAAGTAATTAAACTCAGCCATAACAGACTGATTTCCTTTCTGATTTGCTGTCAGATTCTTTTCAGGTTGTTTTGCTTTTCATTTGTCTAATTTGTGTATTTTTCATCTTCTTAGTCTCTTTCTTTTATTTTATATTTATTGGAGGGTGTTTGCTTTGATTTGTGTCTCTTTGTGGTCAATGCATCAACAATCCAGCTTTTTGAGTAAAAACATCAATTTCACATGTAATAAATTGGTTGAATGTTGTGATTTATTTCTTGTTTATATTCTTCTTATATATACTCAACCATCTACATTATTAGGTAGACCTTTTCAGCTGCTTGTAAACAGAAATATATGATTTACCATCACATCACAGCAGCTCAAAGCTTTTAGGCATAAAGACATGGTCAAGACGACCCACTGAAGCAGGCTACAGCAGCAGAAGGCCACACCAGGTGGTGCTTCTGTCAGCTAAGAACATGAAACTGAGACTACAGTTTTCACAGGTTGACTAAAACTGGAGACTAGAAGATGGAAAAATGTTGTCTGGTCTAGTAAGTCTCCAGTTCTTCTGCGACATTCAGGACGTAGGATTAGAATTTGGGGCAAGCAAGAAAGCATCCATCCTACCTTCTGTCAAAGGTCAGGCTGCTTTTAGTTTCCATCCCCTGAAGACCAAAACAGTCCATTTAATGATGCTGCTTCTAGCAGAATAACGCACCATAGCACGAAGGTCAAATCATCTATAACTGGTTTCTTGAACAATGAGTTCACTGTACTCAAATATCCTCCACATCAGCAGATCTCAGTCAAACAGAGCACCTTTTGAGATTGGAGTTGGAACGGGAGATTCACTCATGGATGTGGAGCTGACAAATCTGCAGCAACTGTGTGATGCTGTCACATTTACAAGAACCAAAATCTCTGAGAAATGTTTCCAACATGAAGAATTAAAGCAGCTCTGAAGGCAAAAAAAACAATCAAATCCAGCACTAGCAAGGTGTACCTAACAAATTGGTCAGTAATCTGATGATATACTTGTTCAGTATATCGAGGCAGAGTAATGCTAGCCTGACTTTTGGGGATTCCTGGTAATTCAGCCTTCCATGAACCCTGAAATCAGAAAAGTCTGATCTCTCACATCTCCCCACAAGGCCTGAAAACAACTTAAGTCCTCACAAAGTCAGGTAAACCTGTACACTAATTTGATGTTAATGGTTAGCAGTTCTGAGATCCTGCTGCAAGTTTCAAGGAAATAAGACACAAAGGGGCGGGGGTGAGGTAAAGCTGACATATAATAGTTGTCACCACACACACACACACACACACACACACACACACACACACACACACACACACACACACACACACACACACACACACAACATGATGCAACAGTATGAAGAAACCTGTGTGAAAGCAGGAAAGATTTCTGTCTTTCTGATTAGTTAAATGACAAAAGAAAACAGAACTCATGGGAAAAATTCAGAAATGTAAATTTGCAAGAAAAAAATGAAATATTTATGAAGGAAACTATTTATTTTGTGACCAGGTTGCTTCACTTTGTCTGGACCACAGTGATAAATCACCTAGTTTAAAAGAAAGACTCCCTGACATACAAACTTATGTTAATCTTTCAGTTTCTATGTTGTTTATTTTATTTCTGTGATGACATGTTCGATAATTTTGCACCTTGTGTCTACGTTGTATCTCTTTTCTGTCTGTTTCCTTGTGGTTTGGCTGCATTCATTTTTCTTTCAAGTTCTTTTTTTGTAATTGCTTTGCATATTTTTTGCAGCTTTTTGTTTCTCTTTAGCATCTCTTTGTGTCTTTGCTGTCATTTTCAGTATATTTCTGAACATTCTGCATCTCTTTTTTTGTCATTTGTGCTTCTTTTGTGTTTGTTTTTCAGGTTTTTGTTGATATTTTTGTCTTGTCTGTTCTGTTTGTGTGATGTTTCAGTTTTTGGTTTTTTTTGTTTTATTTCCATATTTTATTGAAACCTTTTTTTGGTCATTTGTTTTTTTCTGTGTCATTTTGCATGTATCCCTCTTTTGTTTGTTGTGTTTGATGCTTTGTTTCCTCTCTGTGGTCACTCTGGGCCTGTCTCTGGTCTTTTTAAGCTTCTTTGTACTTGAGGTTGTTTTGCAGCTTTTGTTCTTTTCTTCCACCCTCCTAAACATGAATCTGTTCCTGTTTTCAATGGGACTCTGCCCTCTAGTGGTTAAGCAGCTTCACTGCAGTCAGAGACGGAAAAACAAGTTGTTTTTTTGTTTCCATGCGTCCTTGAAGGCGTCCAACAGGAAAACCAGGCTCGTGTCAGGGCTGTAAAACTCCACATGACAGCTCTTTATATTTCATCATCTGAGATTTATATGAAAAATAAAAGAAGCAAAGCATGCTGGATGTTGGAGTTATTAGATGTTTGATTTTTTTTAATTTCATATACAGATAAACATGTAACCTTATTATCTGACTTTGATCTTTGAACTTTCTCGTCGATTTTATTCAACATGAGTTTTTTCCAAGACAAAAATGCTTAATATTTTTCTTATAATTTCACTTAGCAGATCAACATTTTCATTTTTATCTCATAATTTGTACTAAGTACAACTGTTGACTTTTTCCATCTAAAAATTAGTTTGAGTTCATTACTAACCAAATCACACAAATTTTGTTTTACATTTTTTAACCATTTTTATTTTCAAGTCGTCAATAATGGTTTTCATGTCATATTTAAAGACTATTTTATAGCTTTGATTGGAGCAGTAGAAACTGACAATTACTTTGCAAAAATTTCAGCTATTTATATTGCTTTTTATGTGAAATTATCACTTTTTAAATAATTTATCTCATTTTTTATTTAAAAAAGGCAAAACATTAAAACACTTATTATTCTCATAATTTTAAGACACTGAATACAATTCTGTAGTTTTTGTCTCATGTTTTTGACTTGTTCTGTAAAAAGCTCTCTTTTTTCCCTTTTAGCTCAGGAGTTGCATGTTGAACCACAGACTGGATATAAATATTAAACATAAATATGCTTTACAGTCTGTGATGAGCCAACAGCGCTGACGGAGCTCATCATGTGACTCTGCAGCGAGGAGCTCTCACTCTGCTGCTGCTTCAGAGGCCCAGGCAGTGCCGATCGACCAGCAAAGAAGGAATTTCACAAATCCAGAGACAAATACGGCAAGAAAGGTTCAGAAATAAAACATATGAAATAAAGAAGTAAAATGTTAAAATTATTCACAAATCAAAAATGTATATTTTATGTAATTTTTACATCGTCTTCTTCCTTTTCTGTATTTTTTTAACATTAAAGGTTCAAGGCTACTTTATTTGTACCTGTAGGTAAATTTAGTTTACAAAAAAATGATAGCATTTGCCATCCCCACAAAACACACACACGTATTGAATAAAATATCAAAGTTACTCTTACTGTTTTGATATCTTATGTAATTATTTTGGCGTCTTTAATTATTTTTTATTTTTAATTAATTTTTCCCCCTGAATGTTTGAGGATTATCAGACCGTTTAGACTCCTAGAGATGATTCTTCTTCTTTCAGCTGCTCCTTTAGGATCATTTTCCTGTATACCATCCAAGCCTTTGTTTTTTTTGTTTTTTTTTTTAATTTTGAGTTCTTTCTGTGGTTATTTTGTCACAACACAGTCATGTTTGACTTTATTTCTGTCATGACATTTCACGTTTTCATGTTCATATCAATTTTACTTTTATTTTTCCTCTGATATTTAGACTTTCTACTTTTTGTTTTAAAAAGTGCAACATCACAACAGTCATCTTGAGGTGCGTTATGCTATGAGATCAAGAGCTTACAATAACACAGAGAAGTGGCGACAGCAGGAAAGAAAAACTCCCTTTTAACAGGAATAAACCTCCAAAACAACCAGGCTTAGGAAGGGGCAGCAGCCTGCTGTGACATTTTAAAATGAGTTTCCACCTGCTTCTCTCATGTTAAATTCTCTGAAGTTTTAATTCTACTGTTTTTATTTTTCCATTTACGTTTTTTTTATCCATTTGTCATCGTTATTTGTAATTTTAACTTTTTCGATTAAAGCTTTTCGATTTTCAAAGTTTCAATGTCTTTTATTTTAAGACATTAAGTTGAACGTTCTATTTTCCTCAAACTTTGGTATCTATCTTTCTTTTGATTCCTTAAATGTAGTATTTCCATCGCTCTCCCTGCGTTGTGTCTTTACAGACAACAGGACGAAAACAAAGGTGCTCAGTGAGTCCTCCTCCGAGCAGACACGATCTTTGGTTGAGCTAGCCGGCTAACTGTTAGCTGAGAGAGACGCCATTAGTTGGGTGAAAATCAGGCTTTGGCCACAGGGTGAAACGCGATCTGTCTCTGGGTTTGGACTCGCTTCCCTCCGAGCTGCGAGTAGATTCCGGTAGAAGTCGGGTCCGTGTGTGCTGTCGAGCTGTCCCTCTCATGATTTTAGCTCCTTTTTTGAAGTCGGAAGCTGATGTGAGCTGCGCAGGACTTCATTTCCGACTGGGTTAGCATTAGCAGCGCTAGCCTTAAAACGCCCGTTTTGCGGATAAAAGCGGAGGATTTGTGCGAGTTTTAACTGCCAGCCATGGCGGCGGCGAACAGCGGCAAGACCTATTCGTTCAAGGTGGTGCTGCTCGGGGAGGGCTGCGTGGGGAAGACGTCGCTGGTGCTCAGATACTGCGAGAACAAATTCAACGACAAACACATCACAACTCTACAGGTAAGAGGGGCGGAGGAGCCGGGCTCGTGCTTGTCATCGCGTTGCAGGTGGAGGGGAGTCTTGTGTTTCCTGACCCGGGCCTGCCGGGGGAGCGGAGTTATTGCGAAATATCGGCGGTGTTGTGGCTGTAACCGGATCCGATGACGGAGGGGAAAGTCAGGTGTTTTTCCGGGAGATTTACGGTCATAAACAGCCAGAAATACATCTGATACACCTGACTTCACTCACTGTTTTCACCACGGGTGCTTTAATCTCCAAGGGGGGCCAGGGGCAAAAGAGAGTAGCTGTGGCCCCACAGGAACCCCCAACAGAGCATTTTAAAGCTTTTAGTGGTGTAGCAAAGACAGGAAGCATGAGGGAAGAGAGGTGAGGAGATGAAGAGACACGGGTGAAACAAGTGAAGGTGACCTGCACAATCTGTTTGATTATAAAAACGAAAGCTTGTACAGGTGAAGGATTGGGGGGGGAGTGTGAGGAAGCTTACTTGACTTGAAGCTGAAGTGCCTCTCACCTGCATTCTTTCTAGTGACCAGCAGGTGGAGCCTCCTGGTGATTATGTAGAAGTCTATCAGAAAACAGTCCTTCCTCTAGCGTCCTCTTTGAGCTCTGCAAACACGTTTCTGATGACTATATAATGTCAGTCTGTAGATTAACGTTCTACTGAATTCAACTTGATATTCGTTTAGTAAATAAAGGCCACATTAGAGTCCAAAAGGACCAATAAGATGGGACTGATTTAGGGTACGGGTGACCTTGTGATTGACCAGTTTAGTCAATGATACAGTATGATCACGTGATGTCTCGGATTCTCAATACAGCTGTGTGAAACTGCAAATTTCAGTATTGATCTGATATCAAGTAAATACAGACCCAGTTTTGCTGATACAATACCAATACGTAAAAGCAGGTTATATATGGGAGACCGGTGTGTCATGATTCATGAGATGAAATGTTGTCAATATGCAAACTCTGAACACTAAATCCTTGTGATTTGACTTTCCACAATAATTAATTAGTTTCTGTGTATTTAGAATCTGAGGCTTTTGGAAACCTGGGATAAAATGTTTCTGCCTCTAAAGGACTTCAAACCAACAGAAGCAGAAGACCGCAATTTCTTTCCCTCATTTCTTGTTGCATACGATGATGATTTGAGAGTCAAATGAAACTGAAACTTCGCTGCTTTTCTTTCACCGTCAGCGTGTAACTGACTCCTGCAGTGCAGATGTGTCTGGGCATGTGGGACTGCTTCGCTCACCTGTGGAATGATTTCTGTCTGCTCTGCTGTCAGGTGTAAATGCGCTGCTCAGCTTCCAGCAACATCTCACCGAGGAACAGAAGCTCAAAGGAAACAGCAGGAAAACCCTGCAGGTTTCCGTGTGGCTGCTACTGTTTTACAAGCAGTCCTCTGGCCGCCGTCTGCTGATACCTGTCCCAGCTCTTTGAGTCAGGATTAGACCATTGATAAGGATTCACCACACTTTATTTATTAATTTACCTTTGAACATTATAGATTTATTGAACATCGAGGTGGATGGGTGAGAGTTTTCCTGGTGTGTAGTTGTGCTCTGACCGGCAAGTGCGAAAAAGCAGCAAAGGTGAGACCCTGTGAGGCAAAGGCAGAAACCTTTACCTCCTTTATCTCCACGCTGCTGAGTGGACACTCTTTCCTTCATCTTTGAGTCACTTTGAGCTTTCCCCACTGCAAATTGAAGTTTGGGGGGGGCGGATAATTAGAATAATAGGACCTTTTTCTTTCTCTTTTTTTTAAGGAACTATTTAAAAAATGCTTTCAAGAGGAAAAAAAAAACAACACTTCCAAGTGCAGATGTGTTTTTAAATAAAACATTTGGGAGATTTATTTGAGTTCACACCTTGTGGAAAATTAATCAATTAAAAATAGGCCAGTTTCATATAAATAACACGTAGCAGTGGCTGAATAACTTACAAATATAAATAATAATCATGAAAACTATTTGTATGGAATTATGCCTTCATTTCACTGCGCTGTGATCTTGTGTCCTTTCATTAAGACGCAGGCAGCAATCAACCGTCCAGCTCAGGGTCCACAATATATAGATATTTATTTCAAAATAAAAGCATATTAGATGATACCTTTCTCACTGTTTAGTGTGATTTCTGTTTCTGAACATCACTGCAGAGCTTCTCCATATCAGGGCTGTAAGAAGTCACTTTAATATTCACACAGGACTGCAGAGTGTCATCAGTGAGGACACGGTGCTGTTTGGACTTCATGCAGTTTATGCTGAGAAAACCTGCTTGCTTAAGTATGTTGCTCCAAAGATGAACACGACTGCGAAATATAGAGTGAAATTACATAGAGCGAAGTGTTGCAATATTGTACAATGTGAGCCACAAGCATAGGCGTAAGTTTTATAAATGTGTGCAACGATTTGTGTAACTTTCGAGGACTTACGCACGCACTCGCGCTCAATCCCCACAGAAATGCAGAGCAATCTGCCCTCAACTAAAACAATTTCACAAATGTGTTCATCCAAACCTGAATAATTACTGATCATTTACGCACAATTTATTAATTTCAGCTTCACAAACCAGATAAGCTTTTTGCTGTCAAAAACCTTTCTGTACAATTGTTAAAACTACACATAACATTTCACTAGCTCGCTCACAAAACCTTAAATACGTGCGGAAGAATCACCTGATACGCAAAGATCATGTCACACACCCACTTGGGGTTTGATGCTTAGTGCTCAACTTATAGCAAAGTGCAGAGATGGAGAGAGGCGTCAGACCAGCAGAACTTTATTCACCTGGAGGCGGTGAACACAGTGACCACCTCAGTACTAACATTTCACTCACAGCTGAGCCCGTTAGGCTCTCTTTGCAGGCAGTAGTTAATACTTTTCTTTTTCTCCCTCTGTGAACTTTATACTGTAGATGTTACTCTGACTCTTACTTAAACTCTGCTTAATGAGGATGTGTGGAGTTGCTGAAAGGCATTGTGGGGGATGTAGGCTGGGGAAGGATGTGGGTTCGCCACAAACTCCGTTCACCGCAGAGTAAAAATGCAGTCTTTGTGTTTGCTTCGTGGCCTCGGCTGTTTGGAGGATCCTTGTTGAGGACGAGGATCAGCAAGCCCTCCAGGTTTTTCGTGGACAGCGTCGCAGTCACATGGTCATGTGAATGAACCTCAGCATCACACTTGCAAGGCTCATGTCTACGCTCACTCTCATGTGACGCACAAAGGGGCATCCCAGCTGATTGCAGAGTCTGCTGGCCGTGGATGAAGGATCATCTCACTGAAGCTTAAAGTGTGAGCACAGCATGAGTGTCAAACGAAGCATCTCAGTGTTCTTTAGATGAGAGGATTAGGAGAAACTTCCAGAGGCTGTTGATGGTTTGTTTTCGCCAGCACGAGCTCTGCATTATCGAACTGTTATGATTTGTCATGGGACTGTGAAGAAAAGTGTCTGTGTGTATGCATTTTCCAGTCATCCTCTCAGTTCAGAAGGATTTAAAGATGTTTATTAGCAGTGCCGCTGATGGACATCGCTGAGTTTAGGGAGTTTAAACCAGTTCCTGCTGTTTGTTTCACCTGCTGTAGGTTTACCCAGAACCAGTACTTTATATTAAAATGATAAAACTGGCTCAACTTGTGGTCATTTTCAACTAACTGGTCTGATAATTGTCTGAATCATTATCCAACTCTGGATTTAGCATTTCAGTCATGTAGCAGACAGTTTTTGGAAGTAAACAGAAAAAGCACATAAAAGGAAAACTGGTTTAAAATTGAAGTAAACAGTTGGGGGAATTAGAATCACTTACTGATTTCATTTTTGGCACGTTTGGGCCTCCGTAGATTTGGTTTAAACCTCAGAGGTCAGAGCACTCGTGGAGCAGTGCAGTCAGCTGACCGACGTCACATTTACACACTAATTCCAACCTTAATCACATACTGTCACAGCCCCACTCTCAGCCTTCCTCTCACCTCTCCACCATAAATCTCTCCCCTCTGCTCCGTCCAGCCGTCACGTAAATTCTACTGCTGATGTTGAAATCTTAATCTCGGGTTTGACTTTCCCAGAGAACGCTTCAATAAATCATACGTGACTGGGACGGAGGGGAAAAGCCACAGCCTGCTGCTCGGCAGGACTTTGGTCTTTGGTTTATTGCTGCGCAGACTGTCGACAGAAATCAGTTGACAGGTTAACATAAAACTTGCAGATGTTTTTGTGGTAAAATGTGAGAAGTTACAAAAGTTGTTGCAGAAGGCTGATTTTAGCAGAGATGCTCGTAAATTATTGGTTTAACTTCTGGTCAAAGGGCACGTGCACAGAGCTGAAGCGGTTTCAGAATATGTTTGGGGATTTATCTGCTAAAATAATCTCAGACTTTATTTTTTTTTTTCACCATCCACCAGTTTATTGTGCATATTTTCTACTGTTTAGTTTCTATTTTATTTTCTAGCGCTTATGTTTTACTATCTCCAGTCCAAAAAAAGTGTGAGAGTGTAAAATGTAAATTAGAAATGGAAAAAAACCCAGAATGCAATGATTTGAAAATGTCATGAACCCATGTTTTATTCACAACAGAAAACAGGACACGTATAAAAGTTTAAAATGAGAAAATGAACCATTCAGCTGCATCAATGCTGAAAGGTACACACAGATAACAGAGCATCTGCTCCCGTCCAGGCAGGGAAGGCCTTCATATTTCAGCAGACCTGCCTGCAATTAGGACCTTACACCAGCTGAAAACAGCATCAGCATCGCGAATTGAAAAATATGGCAAAGCAGCAACAACAGCAGCCCAGATGTTTTACAGACTGTAGTTAAAAGAAGAGAGGATGCTGCAGTGTGGGCAACATGCCAGTTTTATTGAGACATGTTGCTGGTATCAAATTCAAAATGATTTCATATTTTTTATTAAAATGTTTCATTTTCTCAGTTTAAACGTTTCTCTCTTTTATTGTAAATCGAGATTCATGGATTTACAAATCATTACATTCTGTTTTTATTTACATTTACATGACAAACTGTCTTGTGTTTTTGATATTTTAGTATTTTTAATTGGTGAGATGCTTTATTTTATTTAGTTTAATGGAAATTCATTGAGCTTTTTTTCTGCTGCTTTATTTTGTTTAGTATCTTATTTAACATTTTATCCAATTTTTATTTTGTGTTTTTTAGTTGTTGAGCTACCTTTCAATATTACTTTGCTCAGTTGAATCTTATTCAAATTGAGTTTGTGACATTATTAAAATAATCATGTTGTCCTCTTCCTACGCAGGCGTCCTTCCTCACAAAGAAGCTGAACATCACAGGAAAAAGAGTAAACCTCGCCATATGGGTAAGGCTGCGTTCAAAGTAGTTTTTATTCTCCTGATCTTCTGAATAAAGGTTTTGGGTGTTAACGTTGTCTGGTTGTGCAGGACACAGCGGGTCAGGAGCGCTTCCACGCCTTAGGTCCCATCTACTACAGAGACTCCAATGGAGCCATACTAGTGTACGACATAACAGATGAAGACTCCTTTCAGAAGGTACTTTTGAAAACGAAAGTTTGATGATCCAACATCGTAAAAGCAGACTTTCGACAGCATGTCATTATGGAAATGACAAAACAGCAGTGGAAACTAAACTCGTAACAAACAAATAACCAGTTTTGTGTCCTTTTATCCACAACCTTGGAACAGCTATATAGAAGCTTTACAGTTCATCCAGGAAGTAAAATTTCTTTTTAAATAATTTACAAAAAGTAAAAGACAGTTTACATGGCTGCTGGTGATCACTTGACCCTCTGGATTGAAAAAGGTCGATCCAAAACAATCAGTGTTTTGTTATGGACAAATGCTGAAAAGTTCATTAAAGAAATGGTATTTAATTTAAACTTTTAGGACCTACTCTGAATTGCCCGGCTATAGTTTAGTAATCAGAACTGAAAAGTGCAGTCAGAGTATTTCCAGTCTTAAGATGAGTAAACATTAAGATTGAAACATCTTACAAATAAAAAGTTTAGTCTGTCTGTGGGTCTTTGGATGTTAAACCCTTTGTTTCTCAGAATGTTAATTATGATCATAATGTTGCTCTTTCAGTTCCTGTCTGCATTATAATTACTTCATTATTTGTATCTTGGTTTTATGAAGGGTTTATTTGACCTGAGTGCTTTGTTGTCGTTGCAGGTGAAGAACTGGGTGAAAGAGTTGAGGAAAATGTTGGGGAACGAGATTTGTTTATGTATAGTAGGTAAGTTATCAGAAAGTGGTGGAGACCCAAAAGGGAGCTAAAAGAGATGAACACAAAGATTACTGAAAATTAGAACTGGTTTAATTTTTTTTTAATGGAAGTAAAGAATAAGTTAATGAAAACCAAGTGGGCAAAAATATTGATTATTAAAAGTGCAAAGGAGATTTGGTTCATTTTAAATAGGTGTTGTGTCTCTGTAGGGTTGTGATTACTGCCTGCATTCTGCCCATCTTCCATCTACAATGGAAACACGGTCCAGGCGTCCAGTTCAGGGACTCCAGTTAGCTAAGGTGAAGCCTAGCAGACAGCTAGCAGCTAGAACAGCTGTAGCTGTCAGTCAAAGAGGCCACGCCCCTAATAATACATACTTTAAGCCTTTAAAAAATACAAATTAAGGAGTTATAAAGATATGAAAAGAAATGACCTTTAGAGTCCAGTTTGTGTGTTGGGCTGTAAACATATTTATCTCTGCTGTAAAGCTGGAAATTGTAACATGGGAGCCTCTAGTGGACATTTGAGGAACTGCATGGTTTGGTACCTACTCAATGGTTTTCATTTTCACCCTGTAGACCAGGCCTCGAGGGCCCGTGTCCTGCTGGTTTTGGATCTCACCCTGGGTCAACACACCTGAATCAAATGATTAGTTCATTACCAGGCCTCTGGAGAACTTAAAGACATGTTGAGGAGGTAATTTAGCATCTAAATCAGCTGTGTTGGATCAAGGACACATCTAAAACCGGCAGGACACTGGCCTTCGAGGCCTTGAGTTTCCCCACCCCTGCTGTAGACAGACACCTTAAAACAAGGGAGCCTGGGGGCCGGAATCGCCCCAGCAGGAAAGTGTGAAGGAGGACATACATTTTGGACTTTAAACTGTATTTCATAAATTTTACAGCTTTTCCCACTGATGCCCAACATCACTCCCACACCCGATCATATCACAGTAATAAAGTAACTGATAAATTATCATATCATAGATCACATCTACTATTGAAATGTTTTCTGGTTATTTTTTATTATAAAACAAACCCACTACATAAACGGAGTTTGACATCCCTGTATTAAAAGGAAGCTGGCTGAAATTAAGTGAAATGATCCTTTAAGGTGTCACCAGCAGCACACTGACTTAAATATCAGCGATGACTCATCTCTCTCGCATCAACACTGTTTTTTTGTTTTTTTTTTCTGATGTGGTTATATAGATAAATAGAAGTAGATTTAAGGGTTGGCTGGGAGTTTGGTAAATTGTGTGGTTCATGTGAACACATGAGCTGAGGAGGAAAACAGAGAAAATAAACCTCATGAGCAGCGTTTGTTTTTAAGATTTCATGTCACGCACACTGGATGTTTGGGCCTCCTCTGTTGCTCCTGTTGCCATAGCTGCTAAATATATGATGTTGTTAGTCCGTGTGTGGCTTCATGGGGGCAATTTGTACAGTTATAACTGGATTATGTTGGTGATGTTGCGTTTGTCATGTGTTTGTACCCTATCGTACAGTTATCAAATCTGTTGTTTGGAAATTTTGATTTTGCTTTTAATTAGACTCCACATCACATGAGCACTTCAAAGTGCTCCCTCTGAGCTGAGCGCTGCATCGTTAACGTACCTGTTACATCCAGTTCACAGTTCAGATGCCTGCACAGAAATATTCAAATCATTACTGTGGGTGTTTGCATCTATAAATAGATATCACATTCAGCTCGGGTGGATTTGCATGCAGCTATCAGTAGCTGAGAAAATAACTTCTCAGCTTTAACACTCAGCGTTATAAATATTTTTCAGTGTTGTACTTTTATAAAAACCTCTGTGTACTTCAGAAGGTGCATGTTTTCGTCAGTGGCTGGTGGAGACTAGTGATGGGAATTCCGGCTCTCTTTAGAAAACCGTCTGTTTTGGCTCGGCTCACTAAAAGCAGCCAGCTCTTTCGGCTCCTAACTGGCTCTTCAGTTGTTTTGTTGCTTTAATTAATTTATTATCAACTCGTGTGTGTGTGTATACATATATATATATATATATATATATATATATATATATATATATATATATATATATATATATATATATATATATATATATATAGTGTGTGTGTGTATATATGTGTGTGTGTGTGTGTATTAGGGGTGCAACGATACACAAAATTCACGGTTCGGTTCGATACTTTGGTGTCACGGTTCGATATTTTTTCGATACAAAAAAATGTTCATGCCTTTTTAATTTGTCATTTATTAAAATTATAAATATATATTTTAACTCAAAAGTACAGTTTTTAAATTTAACCTTAACCCTTGTGCGTGTTTTTTATTTTGACAGTGAATGCGCACCTGCGGACCACTTATGTGCAGCCCTGGTTATTTAGCTCGTCATATTGCAGCCACAGAAATTATTTTGTCCATGAAACCATAAAGCTGCACTTTCTTTTTGCCTTATAGTCTGATTTGTCATAACTTCTCCGTTTTGTGGTAAGCTTTTCTTTGGCTGTCACTTCTTCACCCTGACCTGTCTTATTTGGCTCAGCAGAACTAAAATATATATCCTGCTGCTTTTACACACGCACTCACATAAGCTCAGCGATTCTCTGCGCGATCAACCTCTCACATGTTTAAGCTGCGGGAGATTTCACTTGTTATGTTTGCGTAGTAAGCTAACGATTAATAAGATGATGTCAGAGGAATTGGTGCACAAATTATCATCACTCACAGATCAGTGCTGTCGCTCTCTATACACAGTTCGCACGTTTGCAAAGTGAAAGCAAAAAAACAAGCACAAATTCAAACGCGATTTCAATATGTCACATATTGACAGTGGCTCACCGATGCCAATGACATAATTACCCAGCTACATTTCTGAAAGAATGCAAAAGCATTGACATATATTTTTCCTACAATAGCCCGACAGGCAGGGCAGAGATAGATTTTGGTAGCCCGACTGAAAAGATCGCTAGCCCCAGGACGTTGGGCTAGCGATATTGCAAGCCCTGTATCTGATTGAGGAATCACTCATCTTTGGAAAAGAGAGTTTATTACAGAGAAATGTCTCTTTCCAAAATAAAAGCTATACTATCCGCTTCTTCTGGGCTATATTCTCAGCAGCATAAGGAGAATCACGTGCTAACAGCTGTCTAAATGACTCGGCTAAAGTTAGTAGCATGCTTGTTGTTTTTGTCTTTGCACTAGGATGATGTAAATGTGCAGTCATATTCGTTGTGTTCCCACTAGTGCTTTCAGGTTAATCTCGTTGAAATGACTTTAACGCCACAACACGGGAAATCTCCGTTAACGAGCTACCCCTGATCGCCCCGTGCATGGGGCTAGACGGCCAACACGTTAACGAGCTAACTGCGCTAACACACTAGTTCCCACCCATGTAATTGAGCATTGCATGGCACATCCAACATACTGTTTTACTTTAGTCCATGACGCGCTTACCTTCAGGGTCATACGTCACATGAAAACCAAAATAATTCCAAACGCCAGATCTGAATGAGGGTGGGGGAGGTCCATGTTGCAAGGAGAGCTTAACTTCTGTCTCGCTAGCTTGCCCTGCGCTCTTCCTTCTGACTATGCTGTCTGTGTTGAGCGCTCAGTGGATCTGCGCTCGACAGTGCAGCCTAGGCGGAGTAGTTGAACGCAGATTCACTGAGCGCTCAACACAGACAGCATCGTCAGAAGGAAAGTTGATAAAATAAATTACAAATGTTGTATTGTTCGATACATATGCGTACCGAACCGAAAGCACTGTATCGAACGGTTCAATATCGATACGAATATCGTTGCACCCCTAGTGTGTGTGTGTGTGTGTGTGTGTGTGTGTGTGTGTGTGTGTGTGTGTGTGTGTGTGTGTGTGTGTGTGTGTGTGTGTGTGTGTGTGTGTATACGGTGGCCCCTAGACCGAATCAGAGCTAAAAGTGAACCTAAGCACTAAATATTAACTTTTGTGAGGAAGCTGGAGAGCTTTTAGAGAGCAATGATCAGTGCTTATATCAGTGGAATAAATGACTGTCAGAGTGAAAGTGCTCACTGTAGCTTTGGTTTCAAGAATTTTAATGAATGTCTGATCACATCAGACTTATGAGGAACAATGTGGTTTCTGTCTCTGTTGTGGAACACTGCGAAAGCACTTCATCCTCATGAGGATATATGAGGATCTGTGGGAGTTCACAATCATTCTGTAATTTCTGGACTCACAAACCTCCTACTGGGAGTGTTCAGGAGTGTGTGGTATATTCCTTGTACAGCTGTAGTGAGAGCGCAGTTGGCATCATGCTCGTTCTCAGTAGGTATTGCTCTCTGACAGAGCTGCTCTCTGTATGTAGCTATTGTTTGTTTTTCGTTGGTAGTTTTTCTGGACAGAATTTCTCATCTGTTCACAGACGATGTAGTTCTTTAACTTTATTGAGCGGCAACTTCCACCTGACTCTGGGGCGAGGTCAGATGTGAAGTGGGAGGGAAAAGCGTGAGCACCTCCACATCTGAGGTTGTGGTTCTTGGTTGCTGCTCTAAGTGGAGTTCAGTATCTCAGGATATTTTTGAATGTGTGAGCAAAGGAGGGAGCGAGAGCTGTACCAATTTGTTGTTATGAAGAGAGCTGAGTGTGAAAGTGAAGCTGGTGATTTACCGGTCGATCCACATTCCCAGCTCAGCTCTGGGTAGTGACTGAAACAATGAGATGACAGATACAAGTGCCAGAAAACATTTTTGTGACAGCTCTCTTTTAGAGACAAGGTGAGGTGGGGCTCAGAGTAGAGCCGCACCTCCTCCAGATTAAAAGGAGTCAGCTCAGGTGGTTTTGGGCACCTCAACTAGAAGGAGAGCCTGGGGCGGACCCAGGAGCAGGTTTGGGAATGCCTTAGTGCTCCACCGGGAGAGCTGGTGGAAGTGGCTGTGTGCAGGCAAGTCTGAGCATTTCTGCATAGACTGATGGAGACCCGTCCATCATTCGGACATGTGATTGACTACTTTTGCATGCAACTCTCTGACTGTGTAATGATTATCTTTGGTTGACTACAACTGCTAATCACAGATTATAAAGTATAATGTGATGTGACCTTAAAATGATTCTTAAATTGGGCATTTTACTGAAGGTTTGTTTTCTTTGCAGGTAATAAAATAGATTTGGACAAAGACAGACATGTTTCAGTGGAAGAGGCTGAGAGGTAACAACTGCTGCTTATTAGTCAATAATAATACTTTTATTATTAGTAGAAAATATAATGAAGAAAAATTAAAGTGAGCATCATTATTTTATATTTCCCACGCCGAGCTGCTCAGCTGTGAGCAGCGACGATGTCCTGAGTCTGAGCAAAGTTTAATGGCCACTCTCATGTTCGTGTGCAGTTATGCCGAGTCGGTGGGAGCCAAACACTACCACACATCAGCCAAGCTAAATAAAGGCATCGAGGAACTCTTTCTGGATCTGTGTAAAAGTAAGACCGACAGCATCTTTAATTTTTTTTCACAATACAAAAAGATCAAAGAGCAGCAAACTTTATATTTTTTGGAGGCTTAAGGAACAACTTTTACAACATATTTTTGTTTAAGGCGGATATGATTTATTCTTTAATTATAAAACACATTTTGTTAAATCGCTTGATTTCCTGGCAGCTTGTCCAAATCACATTAGTTAATCACATTAACCATATCCATAGACATTTTGTCATAGACAGGTGCAGTTCTGTCCAGGATTGGCTGATTAGATGTTTGTGATCACACTAAACAGGTTAACTGAACAAATAGGCCAATGAGTGAATTCTGTTCATTTGACACAAAGTTTCTGTCAATAATTCTAAGGTTGAAATCAGTGGTGTGCAAATATGTGTGCAGAATTCAAATCCGTAGGAAACAGGGCGTAAAAAAAACCTTTCTTTGAAACTCGGGATCTGACCTTTGACCTCTGAACTGGTCTACTGTGTTTTCAGGAATGATGGAAACTGCTCAGGCTGAGGAGAGGTTGAAGGGCAACGGAGCCAGCCAATCAGCATCAAGTAGGCGGGGTGTACAGATTGTTGATGATGAACCACAGGCCACGCCCGCTGGAGGCTGCTGCTCCTCTGGCTAACACACACACACACAAGCACACACACACCTTCTCTCTGTGCTTGCAGACATAATATCCACACACACATTTTCCAGTGTCTGTCGGTCCGCTCTACTGTAATCTGCTGTGTCCATTCAGCGCCGCCTCTGCTGCTAAGGAGCATGGGAAATCATATTTAAATTTGTTTAATCTGTGTTCCCTTCAAAATAAAAGTACCTGGAGTCCTTATGATTAAAAGGAGTGTGTGTTCAGTGATTAAATCACTTTCTTTAATGATAATAACTCCCCATGTTAGTTTGTCGTTGATAAACGTCCATCTGCAGCTGTTTGTGTGTTTGTACTAAACATTATTAATAAAAGACATGAAATCATTCTGAGGACAGAAAGTTGAGTCTCAGGCTTTTAACACAGATTTTTGTTTTTGTGTATTGGGGGAAATAGGGGTTTAACGCACACACACCCAAGCGCACACACATACATATAATACTACCCCCATTAATCTTCATGTTTATCTGAAGCATGTTTTCAAACTAAGAGGAGGAACACAGGACTGGCTGTTTGTGGTGCAGCGGCTCCACCTGCTGGTCAAAAGTTAAACTGCAGTGAATTGGTAAAACATCAAAAATGAGTTTAAATGTTTACTTTCGGATGTTAAAACACTGAAAGAATACAGGGTGTTGCTTTTCATAACACGGCTGTCCAATCCACATTTTCTTTTTTAGAGGAAGACTCACACAAGCGGCTGTAAGACGATGAATATAGAAACTCAGCAGAGTCGGGTCACATAATTGTTAAATGGTGCTGTGCAGAGTGACATCACTTAGGCTACGTTCACACTGCAGGCGAAAGCACATCAAATACGATTTTTTGACCCTATGCGACCCATATCCGATCATGGTATGACAGTGTGAACGGCACAAATCCGATATTTTCAAATCCGATCTGGGTCACTTTCGTATGTGGTACTGAATCCGATACATATCCGATGTTTCAGAAAGCGACTGCTGTTTGAACGGTCAAGTCGCATTAAATCCGTCTTTTACGTCACTGACACAAGACGGACGCCAATTATCAGCTCCGGAGAAGCGCCCGAGAAGACATCGCGAACGCTTCCTGGCCATCCAGTGAAACTGCTGGGAAGACAACGCTGGAGAAACCTGAACATTTTATTTGTACTGTATAATCTGCAGACTCTGACAGAAATCTGCAACTATCCTTTGAAGCACCGCTCCTCTAAAACAGCAATAAGGATAATTATTAGGTTATTTACATTATTATGTAAATAACAAAATAACTTAAAGCAAAAATTGGGAAACGTGAAGTCCGAAGTCTTTATATTAAGGGCCACCTGTCAAACAATATTGTTTGCTCTGGGTCTAAACAGAGCGCGTTGTGTGTGACGTCTTCTTTTGCGCATGCGGGCCGCTTTGAGCGTTCACACTAGAGCGCGTTTGCTGTCACATTTTATTTGTAGTGTGAACGAGCAGACAAAAAAATCGGATTTGATCAAAAAATCTGAATTGAGCATTAAGACCTGCAGTGTGAACGTAGCCTTAGTCAGGTGGACAAGGACTCTACGGAGCATGCTCTGTGGGTGCAGAACAAGCCCTCCGAGACCTTGAGCCACATTTTAATAGTGAATTTTGTAATTTGATTTAAAGAGGGAAGAAAATGTGTGAAGTCAGATTTTGATCGAAGCAGGAAGCTGTTAAACACATTGCTAAGAAGCAGAACTGCAGTTATAGATTCCCAAAATAAAAATAATATGAAAACAGATGTGTCTAAACTGAATAATAGAAAAGAAACGTGGGAAATGGAAAATTTATTGCTGAAACAGATTCTTGGTTTGTAAAGGAAGTAAAACAATCTTTTGTATTAAAAGTGCTGAAAAATCGAAATGTATTAAAATAAGGCTATTCCTCACATTTAGTCAGTTATTACATTTGATCGGTAATATAGCCAGTAAAATCTCAGAAAAGTGATTAGTGACGTGTTTAAATGACTTACATGTGAAAGTGTAATGATATTTAGAGGTCCTATTGACAGGGAAGAAGGTCTTTATGGTGTAAAGTAACAGTAAATGGCACTTTTGATGATCAAATGATTAGAAATGGGAAATTAAAACATTTTTGTTAAATGAGGGAGCACTGCCTCAGTGTCTCAACTGATTGTGCTTACGTCGCCCCCCAGTGGCAATTCTGAGACAGAAAAAAGGTATTTAATTTAAAATTACTGAAAACTGAAACTCAGTTGAATGTTCACATTAGAGAAACTGGAGTACATGATTCTTTCTCTTATTTTTTGAAGAAAAAAAAAAGAAAACCCCATGTTTTAATGGGTTTTACACACACACACACAGACACACACACTTATTGAATTGATACTGTGCATGTCTGATTTCTGTAACCAAGTTTGTCTGACTTTTCGAAAAAATAAAAAGCACTGACAATGCTGAAAATGTATTCATATTCTCATAGCAGTGATGAAATCTGCCCAAGTTTTCTCTCTTTTGTCTCAGCTGTGAACTACTGTTTTTTTTCCCCACTGCATTTGTCGCTCCAGTCATCTCTGCTCCATGAAAAACATTGTACACAAAAATACATAAAACACAGTGAGTGAATTGGTTCTTGCAGAAGAAGAAGAAAACAAAAATGATATTCTTCCCAAAAAAATAACAGATTGTTTTGGAAGTGTCACTTTTTTCAAACTGCTTGTTTTTTCATCATTTTTTTTTTTTAAGATGAATGATTTGTACCCAAAAGCAATGCTCAGACTTTTGTCTTCAAAGGGTAACCTTTTCCAGTGTTGCACACACTGATATGGAGTCCCAAAGAGCTAAAAATTAACAAATCACAAACTGAACAATATGGCCAGAAAAATGTTGCTACCTATATCACTTTGGTTTATCTTTCAGCTAAAGTTATGAACTCTGCAGGTTGATGTTGGTCTCGGAAAATGAGCTCATTACAAAAAACCCTCCAGGAAACAAATGCAGTCAAAGTGAGAGGAAAATACACCCTCAACACCTTTCAGTTCAAAGGTTTTGCATATCAGGAAATACAAGAACTTCTATAAAAGCAGACAGTTGCTGTTCTGGAGCATTCGGGTGTGTGTTAACAAAATACCTACAAGCATCAACATCAGTCTTTGAAGGGTGAAAAGGTCATCGCCAAACAATTTGACACCCATCTTTGTACACCGAGAAAGACTGTTGCCAGCCAGGTAATAAGTGAAAGTCCCAGTAAATTCAGAACGTGGAGTGTTCAGCGAAACTGAAAAAAAAAAACAAGTGCTCCATCTACAGGCCTCAGTTAGCATGTTAAAGGTTATATGACATTACAAATAGAAAAGGAAGAAACAAGCATGTCTTGTTTGGAAGGGTTGCCAGGAGAAAGTCTCTTTTGTCTAAAAGAAATACGACAGCTGCTCAGGTTTGCAAAGTTGCATCTGAGCAAACCTGAAGAGTTCTGGAACAATGTCTTTTGGACAGACGAGACTTAAGCGTTTGGCCATAATGCCCAGAGCCTTGTTTGGTGAAAGCCAGATACAGCATATCAGTGCAAATGACTTATTTCTACTTAAAGCTTAAAGGTAGTGGTGGAGAAGAGTGGACTGAAATTCCTCCAAAACAATGTGAGAACTGATAAAGTCATGCAGAAAACCATTATTTCTTAGTTTATTGTTGCCAAAGCGCATGCTACTGAATCATGGGTGAAGTTATTTCTCACACTGCTTCTACATTTTTGCTTGTTTTTTGTTTTGTTTTAAAAAAAAAAACCTCTGTAATATGACATGTTGTTCTTCATCTCGTGATTTTAAAACCTAGAAGACTAGATTTTATTTTTTAAATTAAATACTCATGCATAAAACCTGAGACAGTAAAACATCCTGGATTTCACACCAACACCATCTTTAGCTCCTTAGATTTCTCCTTTAACTCCTAATGGACATCCTGATTTTTATGCTGGTGTGTGTGAAAGATAGATGTCATTCATTGGACCCACTTTTTTGTGAAAACAGACTAAATTTAGGAAAAGAAAATAGAAACAACAGAAATCATGACATTCTTTTCTAAGTAAATATGATTCTAAAGGTGCCATTGACATGAACCTTTCACCAGATGTAGGTAACAACCCATCCAATCCACACATGCCCAAAAAAAAAATCAAACCTTAGATGTTCATAAATTATGTGAAATGGCGTAGTGAAAAAGCACTGAACGCATAAAGAAAGGGAAGTGTAAAAATGCATCGAGTGTCTTGACTCCAGCTGAAATCAGCTGGTTCAGTCCCAACTGATGACCTAAAAAAACTGTCTCATTACCAAGGTGTCACACAAGAAACATCTCATAATGGGTAAAACCAACAAGCTCTCTCAAGATCTTCACAACCTTATTGTTGCAAAATTTTTAAACCAGTGAATGTTCCAGTGAGCGCTGTTGGGGCCATAATCCCACCACAACCACGTGCTCCTCGCAAAACTTCAGACAGAAGTGAAAATAATTATCAGAAGAGTTATCCAGGAGCCAAGGAGCGTTTGTGGAGAGCTAGACATGAAGGTCAGCAGGTACAATTCCAGCGACATGGCCTGTATGCACGCTCAACGCGCAAGACTCCATTGAGGTGTGTTTAAGGTTTACTGAAGAACATTTAACCAGCCTGTGAAATACTAGGAGAATATAGTCTCATCAGATGAGACCAAAATTAGTCTTTGGATGTCATAATACACAAACCATGTTAGGTCAGAAGGCACTGTATGTTGCCTTAGGAACATCAAAACACCGCACCAACTGTGAAGTCTGGAGATGGGAACATCACAGTGTGGGGCTGTTTTTCAACATACCTCAGAGCAGAAACAAACTAAAAATGTTTTTATAGACAACAGTGTTCCCATCACTCCTTCTACTTGTAACATATTCAAACTATATTAGTGGGTGATATTTCAGCTCCGTGTTATCAAGCCAGTTGGAAGCATAATATCAATTTTAATACCATTAATGAAGTTGTTAATAATACAAGTATTAGTTGCTATAGATACAGCATTAAATTCTTAAATAGAGCTTTTATTAAGCCTCCTTGTATGTTTTGAATCAATGAAATTTTAATTGGCATGAGTTAATTTGTCTTTCAAATATGACAAACACTGGGTGTGAGCATTTAAGAAGTGTAATCTTAAATTACAGGGGGTGATGGTGGCATTAAGGGTTTAATGTACGCTTGTGCACACTGGGTCTTTGAGGTTTCAAGGTGAGAATGACTCAGACTCCTGTTTTTCACGTGTGACCTAATCGACTTCAGAGCACACATCTCCACCTGCAAGTGATAAAGTCCCACCTCAGTATCTGGTAATTTCTTAATCTGGGAAGCCCCTTCTAATATGTCTTTAT